ACGGAAATCCCTGGGACTGTCGCTGTGGCTACACAGATTCTGACTGTGCGACTCCCTCAGTAGCGACAGACCGAGGTACATGGTATAAAATTGACTGTCTCCTCGTTAAGCATCCTTTAAAACTTCAACACCTGGCAGTATATATACTTGTATGTCAGGGCTAATGAACGTAAGCTGCAGACTTCTGAAGAAAGGAGAAAATGGGCGCCGTTATAGTTGAATCATTCTCTGGTCAGACAGTAAGGTAAATTAACACGACAGCCAACCCAGTATTTGATACACAACACTGCTATCTCTGACACTCGCATGCCGACTGCAACTGACACCACTCTGGCTGATGTACAAATTACACACACAGGGGAGCTGGCTGAAAATAGTCGGCCGCCTGTCCCGTGTCGGCAGGTGTTCTCTGTGTACATCTGACACGGTGACATGCACTGCCTCCTCGATAACACTGTTTTAGTGTAGGGACAACAGTCAGCGCCCCCCCCCCCTCTCTCTCTCTCTCTCATTTGTTCATTTGTTATTGCTGTTTATTCGTATGTTTACTTACGAATATCCCTCAAAGCAAAGATTTAATGTTAAACAGGCACCGCAACCTTGTGGCGCAGACACCCTGAGCATTGGATAAATGTTTCAGGGGTTCCCCGCCTCCCACAAAATATGTAGGGGCAAGTGGCTACCCGCCCCCTGTACAACTATAGACATTCTCTATAGACAGTATCTGTTTAAATATTCCATATAGTTTTGTTTACATTATTATTCTTATTTGTCATTTAGCACATAATAATTATTATTTATGTGGGCTTAAAATGAGGCTTAAGCCGACCGCCCTCCCCTTTCCTCTCTGAAATTGTGGGGGAAATTTGCACCCCCCCCCCCCACAATGATTTGTTTGTCGCGGCTCCCCTGCAATGTTTGTGGACTCTCCATCACTGTGGTGTGTGGTGAGTGATTGTACGTTTTCTAATATGTGACTATCAACTGAACACAAGCATGGAACAATGCCAAGTCTGAAGGACAGATACGTGTATCATTTTACGGTTACGCTACAACAATGGGAGGCGACAGTGGCCAGATCCACAACACCGGAACATAAGCATAGTCCCAGTATGTCACGTGTTTCTACCAGTCGTCATTTACCTGTTCTCCATATTTCGGTGTCTCAAAACTTCAATGACTAATCTGGCACCTCGTGGTACTTAACAATACCGACGACGCTTGACTAATCTGGCACCTCGTGGTACTTAACAAAACCGACGACGCTAATCTGATTTTGTTTTGTTAACGGGAGGATTAAAACAGCTTGAGGCCAACAGATTACTAAGTAATTACATCACTTATGCTAACGTCATGAACAAAGCATACAAAGAACAGAGACGACATGACTAAGAACATGGACGAAAGATGCCCATAAGAATAAGCACACGCAGGAATGACGCGCATAGAACAGTGAAATATGGGCGAACAGCCAGAAAGACATAATTAGTGAGATCATTTACAAGGAGACAAAATAGTGGAACAGCAAATAGTCACGTCTTAGAAAATGCCAAGATGGTCACGTAGCAAACATTATCATATGTTCCCAGCGACATCTTAACGCTCTAAGGGCAATCAGTTGGACAGCTACTGGATCTCAAAACCCAACATCTCAACTACGACATGGGTTTGGCTGGACCTACTTCTTCGTCATCTTAACGTTCATCAGCTGTAAACTCCAGTAGAAAATTCCGTTCGCGCGTCTACTCCAAGGCTATGATGTTGATCCAGAACGTGAGTTTTGTTCGCACATATGTTTACAGAATTGGCTTATTTATACGCAGACTGTTGGTTTCTTGCCCTGAGGCGGATGCACTCCGACTGGAAACACCCGCTAATTAGTGGTCGCCTCCTAAGACACGCTGGATAGAAAAAAAAAGGGGGGGGGGGGGGGTTCTTTGTTTTATTCTAAATGGAACACCGGAACTCAAGGCGGGGAATCTACAATTCGCTGTGTGAAGCAACGGGAAAAATCGGATTAAAAGCTTCCATCAGAGGATGTCATTTATATGTAAATGTGTGGTGGGGTTAACACCCATGTCATCCTGGACTTGTACCAACGTCTAGGTCCGCAACAACTGTCATTCACACACATGTGTTATCACCTACCCGCCAATCTAGTGTCAATGTCACCTACTGAGGTTAGCTGTTCACATGCGAATACCATACGATAGTAAGCCACACCTTACAGTTTACTTGGTTTACTTCTTTCTCAGTGGTTCTGGTCTCTCTTCTAACTGAAGCACTGGACTAGTTCTCGCTAGGGTATGTTGTTACATGCTCACACATGCATGTTATATATATATATATATATAATATATATATATATATATATATATATATATATATATATATATATATATATATATATATATATATATATATCATGTGTTGTTTCAAGGGGCCCATTGTGGGGGAAACAAGAAAAGAACCACTGCCTGCCTAGCAGCATGTCGTAAGTCGACTAAATGGAAGCTTTCATCTGCCTAAAAGGCAAGGAACCAACAGTCTGCTTGCAAATGAGTCGACCTGTGAAACGGATGTGCATGCAGCACTCAGTTTCTGAAATGGGACTAGAGTCTAGAACAGCCAGAACTTTTCACCGGAGTTTACAGTCAGTGAACGCAAAAAATATGATAATTATATATATATATATATTATATATATATATATAATATATATATATATATATATATATATATATATATATATATATATATATATTTATATGTGTGTGTGTTAGCGCGCGAGTGCGTGAATGTGCTCTATTTTATACAACTGGAACCAGACAAAACAAAGTGGCCTTGTTTGCACACACCATTATGCTCATTTCACAATACCAGAAGACCTATAATTTAATGGATTGCTAACCTCACAGAGATTCTTACAACGGAAATAGCTGGCGGTAGCAAGAGCAACACACCTGGAATTCCCCTACAACGGTTACCAGCAGGCAGTGACCAGAAATAACCTCACCTATGTGGCGCCTTCAGTCCGCCCGCTGATAGACAAGACCAGGTGCCATGAATGAAACCTGAGTGTCCGTACAACACAGTGATAGAGGATATCAGATTATATCACCCCAGAGAAATCTATGAAAACCACAAGCATGTGTAATCATGAGATAAAGAATCCACCAATGCACAAAGGGCAGCTTCAATCAAACGAATGGATATGTCCGCCCTGAGCTGCAATATCTATTTTAGGCACCACTTATCAAACTGAACAAACGGTGTCACAGACAACAAGGTGCTGAGGCCTCTATGTTAACCGCTCACTAGAATCAAATGTAAACGGTCACTTAAAAATACACAGATTAGTATGGGAACCTGCGCAAGTGCCTAGCTGGCCCATGTGTTAGGATGGCACTAGTGCCCCCATATATACGTAATTCAAAAAATTAACAATAATAAACCATAAACTTTTATTTCGCGAAATTAAACTAAACGTATAGTAAGAAAGACAATCATGTATATTTTAAAATAACATTGCATTTATATTTGAAGTTTTCCCTTTTTCTTTTTAATTGCAAAGTCTATGAAAAGATCCTCAAACTAATCTTATATAAGACATCTGTGTCTATACTCAATAGAGATAATGCATCCAGCCTGCCTTGTTCTGGTTGTATTTTCCTTTTCAATATACTAAAGTTAGTTCCGTATCCTTTACAGGACATTGCAGAACCAACCCCAGCATTTTTTTTTTTTTTGGGCTATTGTGGTTTTTTGTTTAGGCAAGTTTACGTCCAGTAGTTTGCCACTGCTGTCCGGACGGTCGGCTTCTCGATACCACTCTTGAAACCAGCGCAAGGCCCGCAGCTGGATCGAACCCGGCACCCCGGCATTACAAAGCGCGTTCTGGTTGTTCAGCGACTTCTTATGCATATTTGCAGTTGTACGGTCTGTGGTCATTTTTGTAAATTGGCTTCTGCTTCGCGAACACTGTCTGTAAACTCTGTCAGAAACTTCTGGTTGTTCATCGACTTCTTATGCATATTTGCAGTTGTACGGTCTGTGGTAATTTTTGTAAATTGGCTTTTGCTTCGCGAACACTGGCTGTACACTCTGGCAGAAACTTCTGGTTGTTCATCTACTTCTTATGCATATTTGCAGTTGTACGGTCTTTGTTAATTTTTTTTAATTGGCTTCTGCTTCGCGAACACTGGCTGTAAACTCTGGCAGAAACTTCTGGTTGTTCATCGACTTCTTATGCATATTTGCAGTTATACAGTCTATGTTAATTTTTGTAAATTGGCTTCTGCTTCACGAACACTGGCTGTAAACTCTGGCTGTTCATCGACTTCTTATGATCCTCTGATGCAACAATACCCTTTCAGAATCAAAGAGTTAGCACTGATGTTTCTTTACTTTTTGTTTGTCTGTAAGAGCCTTAATTGTTATATTTAAATAGCACACATATTTACTTTAAAAATGATGTTTACTTCTATAAAATATGTCGAAAATTAATGAAACTAGTTTAAGTTGTGTATACATCTCCTCGATAAAAACTGTGGACGCAGAGGGACTCCATTCTTGCACAAGAACAGGAATCCCCATTGACCTGTTTGGCCTATAAATAGAGAAGGCCATGTGTGTAACAATGTATGTACCCTTTTCTAGTAATAAGATATGTAAAGGAGCTTTTTTCATGTCTTTAGGCGTACGGGGCATTTAGGACCAGACCTATATTTTATAGGCCAATCTGCACTCGCTGGGTAGTGTGGTCAACACCACACCGACTGCCTTTACTTCCCAGGATTTTACATGCTAATAAGGTATGTGCACTAGCCTTAAAAAATGTATGTACCCTGGTTTTAAGAACCCCCCCCCCCCCCTTTCCAAGTAATAAAACATATACCCTGGTAATCAGCACAGAAGTATAGTTAACCAAAGACAAACTGTTTCCATAAACAGACACATGCAACATATATAGTTTAACTGAAGTCAAAGATATGTTCTTACCTTCAGCACCTATTGAGACTAATTTCACCCCTTTAGAAGCTATGAAATCCAAGGCTTTGTTAACGTTTGCAATCTTGTGGAATCGCATCTTGCCCCGGTCAGGCTTGGGTAAGTGTTCCCCAGAGATGACCTCCAACAACAACATAAGTTTGAGTCCATTTCGAAAGTCCTCCTCTATATTCTCTATCTGGTTCTGTGGCCCTGTCTTCCGCAAGTGGGAGTTGCACCAGGCTGTGAACGTCTGAAATAGGATAGAAGAATATGCCAGTGAGAAACTAGAATCAGCAAACTAGCAGATGCAAGTGAACTCTAATCAGGACATGGAAACCTGATGTAGGTACAGATGTGAGAATGCATGAATAAAATACAAACCATAATAACATGGTACTTCTATAGAGATGTAATTAAAACTGATAGAATTTACAATAGGTTAACATAGGAAACAACAACAAGTGTAAACTTAAGACATACAGGAACAACTATTGTAATGTTTGAATGAGTTTATTTGTAATTATTTTTATATAAAGTTGCTCCATAAATTTCCTTTACAGTACATAGTGGGAGCTACTGCCCCTCTAAGTTTGCTGAGGCAGTTGAGGGGTCAAAAGCTTCATCAGTTAGATTTGAGGGGTGGTGGAATGGCCCAGGAGGCGGTAAGAGCCTTGGGTGCCGTTGGGGGCAATAACCAAACACGACAGTGATAGAGAGAAAGATGAAGTAAAGGACCGAAGAATACAATGAACAAAATAAAATTTAGGCTCTTATAAGGGGTTGGTTTAATCTCTAATTTGCTAGTAAACTTAATTACGTTGTGGCGCAATTATGTCCGTGTAAAAAGTAGGTCACCAACGTGACAAGTTTTGTCAGCTCTTTTACACATCACCTTTCTATATTTAAATTGTGCGAGTGGCAACGGTACAGTGAGCAGCAGGACTCACTGATGGTATAGTGGAAGTGCTCATAAAATCATCATCAATGCAGACATGTTTCAATGATGTCACTGTGCTTCCGGGTCGATAGAACGTCAAACAGGTTTCAGAAAAGGTGATGAAAAGTGATTTGATTTGATTCAAGAACCGACATCACAGCACTCGGGGCATTCCCATAAGCGCTCCGCCCCCATCTTCAGCAGCCAGCGAAGAGTTCCGATACTAATGGTTCCAGTAGCATTTTGATTAAACGTCCGTCTTGCCTTTCCTCTGAGCCTCGAGCATCTGCCAGAACCTCTCGTAACTCCCCCCTGCATCCAGACTGTGGTGATCCATCTGCTCCTCCGAACTGTACACGATGAAAAGTAAAAGTGATTAGTGATTAGAAAGGATTATCATCACAGCACTCCGGACAGATCCATAGGTGCTCCGATCTCCTCCTCAAAAGCTCCACAAGTGTATAATGACAGATGACCATATCCCTAACTGTGCTGACACAATGCTTCAAAGTCAGGATAAAGGCCCTTGACTTACTATAAGTGCTGACACTTCTTCTTCTTCTTCGATCCTTCTGTCAGAAAACTTATATCAGGAGGCCGGTAGCCTTACTATAAGTGCTGACATTTTATATTTCACCCCCCCCCCCCCCCCCCACCCCCCCCCCCCCCCCCCCCCCCCCCCAATAACACACAACTTCCTATGTTCTATTTTTATAAAGTGTCCAGTTTTCAGTCTTGTCTTGTCCACAATTGCCTCACAGCGTAGTGGGGAGTCGCAGTTTTCTATCCTGGGCCAGGTGTGTTGCACGTGTTGTTGTTAGTCCGTGTTGCCTCAGGATCTCTGATATATTGTCTATCCATCGTACTCTCGGTCTGCCTCTTGCTCTAGGGCAGTAGTGCTGTTCGTTGTATGCTCGGAGAGGCAGTTGGTCGGTTTGCATTCGCATCAAGTGGTCAAACCACTCTATTTGTTGCTTCTTTATGTATTGCAGGCATGGTGTGGTTCCTACAATTGCTCTAATGTTCTCGTTTCGAACTCTGTCTCTCCTTGTGACATTGGCAGCCTTACTAAGCATCTCATTTCGCACGTCGTGATCTTTTTCTCCTGTGCTCTTGTTAGGGACCAGGTTTGGCATTGGTAGCAGAGGGTTGGTATAAACATGCAATTTATCAGTTGTCGTTTTAGTGCCATAGTGATGCTTGGGTGTTTTAGCAGTGGGGAGAGTTGGTAAGTTACTGCGTTCGCCTTTTGACATCTTGCCTCAAGTTCCCTATCAATTCTTCCATCATCTGTGAAGATGCTCCCCAAGTATTTAAATTGCTGCACTTGTTTGAGTTGTTAAAGATAACAAATCCTGTGGATTAAAATGTTATATTAGACTTGAATTGCTCCCGTCCCATAATAGCAAATGTGGACTACATTTTCAACATAAGGGTGGATAAATATACAGATGTCTCTGCACTAGAATCCAGTGAGATTTTTTAAACTAACTTTAAAAAAAAAAATCGACACCCAAATTAAAAACAAAAATTACAAACAAACTGGCGACTGGATGAAGTCTTAAAAGAAAAGTGGAAGCCATGGGTTGAGCTAAAGGCAATGGCAAAAGATAGGACTTGGCATAAGTCGGCATAGTCTAATGTTAATCTCCATTGGGTAATACGGAAAAGAAGGGAAAAAAGTGGAAAATATAGAAGGATCAAGTACTAAATATTTAATCAGTCAGTAGGTTCTTCTTCATGTTCAACAGCTGTACGCTCTGGTGGAAAGTTCTGGTTGTTCGTTCACTTCAGGACTGTAGTCCCGTTCTAGAACCCGAGTGTTGCTTACAGATCTGACTCATGCGTATGTTCCTTGCCTCCATATGCACTCCGACCTCGAAGGAAGTTCCCAATTAGTTGCCTCTTACGACATGCTTATGGATAAGCAGTGGGTCTATTCCTATTTTCCTTACAATGGGGCCCCTGAAACCTCACGGTGAAATTAGTAGGCTGTTTACGGCACTCTCTTCACGGCACACCTAAAGGCCTCTTTGTCTTTAGCCAATTCTCCAGCCCTATGTGTTTATAGCCAATGCCCCGTACACACCTTCCCAGAGGTCGGCCTCTGCATCTTCTTCCGGAAACAGTCATCTCCATCACCGTTTTCCCCAGGCTACCATGCCTTGTAACAGAATGGCTATTCTCACGTATGTGTGCTGGTGATTTCATGAGCATGATCCGGCGGGTTGAGGCGGCATGCGAGATTAGACAGTGGATGACGTGGAGTCATGCGGGTGTTGTTAGCAATGAAAAAGCCTACAGATTAGCCGGTTCTGTCTTAGTTACAGTGGGCCAGATCATGCAAACATTGTTAATGCCATTAGAGAGGTAGGACGATCGAATGGTTTTGGGAGCAGCACATTCACATCTTTGCTAACAGTGCAAGAATTAGAAGTAAAGATCGGCACATCCATGCACGAGAAGCACACCGGGCGCATGAGAAGTCTTGTCAACCAACATAGGACTGGGACAATCAACCGCGGGACGATGATGTAAAGGCTAAAGGGGGAATGTGAGCAACTATGGGCATGTCCGGAGAGCCGTGATGATAACCCAAATCATACTTCATAACTTATGGCCCTAAAATTCCTGTTTTCGGACAGGAAACCCCAAAACGATGGCCTATACTGACTGCAAATGGTCCCGAACCTTGAAAAGTAATTCCTCAATAAGAAATGGAACTCTGGGCTGGATGATGAAGAAGGGAACCGAAAGTTTATGGGAATGCCTCTCAGTGCTTTGATGTCGGTTCTTCACTCTTATGAATAAAATAGTATTCCTGCATAGACAATCTTGGCAGCAAACTGATTTTCGCGTGAACACAATCACAAAAGACTGGGTGACCTCCGCTGCATCAAAAAACGTTATTATTAGTCTTGATCTCAAAGCAGTCATTATCTGCTTCCCTTCTGTGTTATTGTCATTTGCTGACTTACATACGTGCTGTATTATTATAACGCGCACAAGAGGCTGCCGACAAAACAATGATCATAAAGAGCAACAGTCTGTCAGTACTGGAGGTTGTCAAGCACTTGCAAATTGTCTATGTGAGCTTTTAAAAACCTGCATAATTCGAGACTGGACTGTCCACCCAGGAGTATTGTCTGCTGTCTGGGTAGCACGATGGTTAAGGTTAGTGGTCAGGGATCAAGCACCAGCAGTATGATTATTTGTCCACCCTCCTCCTTTTCCAAACTATGGTTTGGTCGTCTCATAAATAAAAACTGGATGCTGTTAGAAATGTTCACCTGGTGGAAAAGTCGCTCATAAAAAAAAAAGAGGTGTTTAAGGGTGACAGCCCTAACTTTATTGAGCGGATTTAGACAAATGACTCCATCTCTAGATAGCGGCTGGTCACCCACAAGAGCTGTCAGAAAGTACGAACTCCGCAGCTCCTACACAACTCCTAAGGATCTACAAAACAGCCGTACTGACGAATCGAAGAGTGAGTGAAAATCAAACCTACAAACTTCACAGCACAAGGCAGACCGCTTCATTGCTTCGTCACAAAGCCCCCCCCCCCCCCCCCCAACTTTGGCTTAGGGTGCTGTTTGTTGTGGTTTCGCGCTTCAATACGGTGTAACATATGAAGACAATGACAGAAGGAATTGACTAATGCATCTGGGCGTAGAATCTACACCTTTAACTGGCAACCATTTAAGAACAAACGGATCGATTAAATAATTTTTTTCTTAACAAACCAAGAAGTACAAGTGATAAGCATTAGGGGAGGTGAGACGGGAATGATGTAAAAACAGCCATTTTGGTAATATTTCACAAGCATAAGTTGCCATACCAGTTTCTAGTCTTGCTAGATGTAGAATTACAACCCGGTGTCAGGTTTGCAGCCACTTCACTACAGGCAACAGGTGACACTGGTGCGTGCTGCCTTGTCTCAAACCCCTTTTTAGTTAACAAATGACCCCGCTAGCGTGGCACTGAAAACAACACAGCTCCAGAGCTTACAAGTGCGGTCATAGTGCTACATAACAAGCTACATTCTTGTCACTGAGGTTTCCAGTTGTTAGTCCCTTGTCCTACATTTATAATGCTTGCCTAGGTAAAATCTTGTTACGTGTCCTGCCGCCGCGCTAAAGCTGATTAGTTGCGGCTACTGACTTATAGTCCCAAGCTCAACCTATTCAAGTTTACTACAGACACAACATAATGCATAAGCCGGACATGGACTAATCCTTCCAAAGCTACTGTCAAGCACAATGTTCTGAACAAAGTCTGACGCGTAACCGGATTATTTATGACTTGTAATAATC